AGCATAACATCCAGAATTGTTCTTCCTGATGGCTGCTAGGTAGATCTGTCACTAAATCACCACACACCTTGAGTAAGACATCAGCCTGTTTTCCCATATGCATCAGGGGCAGCCGGAAGTGACCATCTTCTCAAGCTTTTGCATCTGTGACAGTGCTTCCCTTCTCTCCCTGGGGCAGATGGTAGTGCCCTGCAGGGGAGGAATGACCATGGACAGACAGCTGATGGGGATGGGAGGATGAGATCAGGGCCCCCCTCTCTTCAAATGACTATATGGGTTCACTCAGGGAGGGTGGGACAGATCTGTGATGTTTAGTTCTTTGCTATATCTGGCAGTGTTTTTGTTGTTGTTGTTGTTGTTGTTGTTGTTGTTTTGAGATGGAGTTTCACTCTTGTTGCCCAGGCTGGAGTGCAGTGGCACTATCTAGCTCACTGTAACCACCACCTCCCCGGTTCAAGTGATTCTCCTGCCTCAGGCCTCCCAAGTAGCTGGGATTACAGGCTCCTGCCACTATGCCCGGCTAATGTTTGGTATTTTTAGTAGATACAGGGTTTCATCATATTGGCCAGGTTGGTCTGGAACTCCTGATGTCAGGCGATCCACCCACCCCGGCCTCCCAAAGTGCAGGGATTACAGGTGTGAGCCATCGTGCCCAGCTCTGGCAGTGTTTTCTAAAAAGTAAAATATAATGTAATGCTCTATGCTATGTTGAAAGAACTTTGGGATTAAAAACAGAAAATTAAAGAAATACTTCAGCTGGGAGCGGTGGCTCATGCCTGTAATCCTAGCGCTTTGGGAGGCTGAGGCCAGAGGATCACCTGAGGTCAGGAGTTCAAGACCAGCCTGATCAACATGGTTAAAGCCCATTTCTACGAAAAATACAAAGAAATTAGCCAGGTGCGGTGGTGTAAGTCTGTAATCCCAATTACTCGGGAGGCTGAGGCAGGAGAATCGCTTGAACCTGGGAGGTAGAGGTTGCAGTGAGCTGAGATCACATCACTGTCCCCTCCAGTTTGGGCTACAGAGCAAGACTTTGTCTCAAAAAAATAATAATAATAATAAGGCTGGGTGCAGTGGCTCACAACTGTAATCCCCAGCACTTTGGGAGACCGAAGTAAGTGGATTCCTGAAGTCAGGAGTTCGAGACCAGCCTGACCAACATGGCAAAATCCCATCTCTACTAAAAATACAAAAAAAAATTAGCCGGGCTTGGTGGTGGGTGCCTGTAAACCCAGCTACTCGGAGGCTGGGACAGGAGAATCACTTGAACCCAGTAGGCGGAGGTTGCAGTGAGCCGAGATCTCGCCATAGCACTCCAGCCTGGATGACAAGAGCAAGACTTCATCACAAAAAAAAATTAAAAAAAAAAAAAGGACAGGCACGATGACTCACGCCTATAATCCCAGCACTTTAGGAGGCCTCTGGCCAACGTGGTGAAACCCCGTCTCTACTAAAATACAAAAAGTTAGCTGGGTGTGGTGGCATATGCCTGCAGTCCCAGTTACTCGGGAGGCTGAGGCAGGGGAATCGCTTGAACCCGGGAAGCGGAGGTTGCGATGAGCCGAGATTGTACCACTGCACTCCAGCCTGGCTACAGAGCAAGACTCCATCTCAAAGAAAAAAAAAGAGAGGGCCGGGCACGGTGGCTCAAGCCTGTAATCCCAGCACTTTGGGAGGCCAAGGCAGGTGGATCACAAGGTCAAGAGATCGAGACCATCCTGGTCAACATGGTGAAACCCCGTCTCTACTAAAAATACGAAAAATGAGCTGGGCATGGTGGCGCGTGCCTGTAACCCCAGCTACTCAGGAGGTTGAGGCAGGAGAATTGCCTGAACCCAGGAGGCGGAGGTTGCGGTGAGCCGAGATCGCACCATTGCACTCCAGCCTGGGTAACAAGAGCGAAACTCCATCTCAAAAAAAGAAAGAAAGAAAGAAAAAGAAATACTTCAAAATACTAATGATGTAATAATCAACTGCGCCTCATAGTTTGCTAAGCATATTTGCATTCCCTCCACCTCTGAGCCCCCCAAGGCTGTGAGGTGGCATCATTCCCTCATGTTCTAGCTGAGAACCCTGAAGTCAGAGGCTGTAACTTGAGGAATGGGCTAGGTCACATTCTAACACTGAACCCAAATGTGACAAGAAGAGAGGCAGGTGGGCGCAATGGCAGACCTCTAGTCTATCCAGAAATGCCACTCCACATGTGGTTAATGACTCATAGAGATGGGGCTGAGGGATAAACATGGCCTTTACAGGTTAAATTAGTTAATATATATTTAAATATTAAAATGAAAATAAATTGTGCTTTGCTTAACAATAGTATTGTTGATAGATCTTCTTGTATAGCCAGAAAAAGAATTTGACAGAAAGAACCAGAAAATAGTCTAACAATTTGCTGTTTATGTACAGATGTACAGCAAAATATATACACCAATTTAAAAATAAAATGCTAAGCTAAACTCTACCATGCAAATTCAAGAAAAGCAAGAGGTTTTAATTATAATATCTGGAAAAGAGAAGTTAAGGCTAGAAACAGTAAGAGAGACAAAGAGGGTACTAAAAGGCATAGTTTTTCAAAATATCACTATTAAATAGATATGCCCCAACATGATACTTACTGATGATTTATACCCTGCCTATTTCTCAAAAAGGACTTGAGAAAACCGTACAACATAGGGACAATACATATAAAGATAAACAGAGACTAAAAGTGAAACAGGAGGCGGGGCATGGTGGCTCATGCCTGTAATCCCAACATTTTGGGAGGCCGAGGCGGGTGGATCACCTGAGGTCGGGAGTTCCAGACCAGCCTGACCAACATGGAGAAACCCCATCTCTACTAAAAATACAAATTTAGCCAGCATGGTGGTGCGTGCTCATAATCCCAGCGGCAGCTGAGGCAGGAGAATTGCTTGAACCCAGGAGGTGGAGGTTGCGGTGAGTTGAGATCATTGCACTCCAAGCCTGGGCAACAAAAGTGGAACTCTGTCTCAAAAAAAAAAAAAAAAAAAAGTGAAACAGGAATATATAAGGAAAAAAACACAAACATCGAACTATGATTACATCAAGTAAATGAGTGTTCTGAACGGTTTTGGTGTCACAGAGGCGTTTAAAAATATGGCAAATACTACAATCCCCGTCCCCAGCAAAATGTCTCCCTGCACATACCCAGCTTTGTTTGATCCCTAGGGGTCCACAACAAACCCCTGCATGCTCAAGACTCCTAGGCAGGCCATGGACCCCGAGTTGAGAATTCTAAAGTAAATGAAAGCCAGAGAATGTATGGATTTGAATAAAATAATGAAAAATTTGAGTTAACAAATAGCACTGGTAGATTAAAAACACATTTTGAGATTATACAAATGCTTTTATAAAAATTGATAATATATTCAGGCCCAAAGATGTCCTATGGACTCTTAGAAATGTGGACACCACAGTACAGTAAGAAATAAGCAGCAATACCCTAAGCATTCATCACTTAGAAATATTTTTAAATAATAACACTTGGGCCAAAAGGAAATTCTTAATACTGTAACAAAAAACACCACATGGTAAAACTTACGAAGTGCAGACAAAGCTGTAACTCTAAGAAGAAAAAATATAGACCAAAGTACCTACATACTAGAAATATTTAAAATGATTAATTATATCTAAATGATTTTAGAATTATAAGGTAATAAACCAAAAAGGCGAATACATATATGCAGACAAAACAATGAGATTAGTACACGAAAGCAAGAGCTGGAGTTTTGTAACACTCTACAACATCTAAGTAAACCACTGCCATAAAAAGAAAAAAAGGTAGGATAGAAACAAAGATCAACTAAAGTAAAAGATAACTGATTAAAACATCAGCAGGGATGAGCTTGTATAACTTTACACTGTTTGAGAATCTAAATAGAATGAGAGTGTTTTTAAAAATATCTAATAAGCTGGCCGGGCACAGTGGCTCATGCCTATAATCCCAGCACTTTGGGAGGCCTAGTCAGGCAGATTACAAGGTCAGAAGTTCAAGACCAGCCTGACCAACTTGGTGAAACCCCGTCTCTACTAAAAATACAAAAATTAGCTGGGCATCGTGTAATCCAGCTACTCAGGAGGCTGAGGCAGGAGAAGTGCTTGAACCCAGGAGGTGGAGGTTGCAGTGAGCCAAGATCCTGCCACTGCACTCCAGCCTGGGTGACAGAGTGAGACTCTGTCTAAAAAAAAAATTACATACATATAAAATAAAACAAGGAAAGAATTTGAACAGAAGGAACGAGGCTCTGCTCATACTTCCAAAAAAGAAAAGTACCTGGGTTTTATCATGTTTATCTGTTAACCCTTGGGGGAGAGGGGGATTGTCATCTCCCTGTGATACAAAAAGAAGAAAAGAGAGGGAGGGAGGGAGAGGAGAAGGCGCATGTTTCAAAATGCGAGAACGGACAGAATTATGAGGCGGGAGTAACGCTAGAGTGAGCAGGGGCAGCCTAAACTCCCTGTGGCTTGCTCAGAGTGAAACCAGGCTGGCTGAAATGAGGGTTTACGTGCAGAAAAGCTCCTGAAAGTTGGTTTTAAGGAGTGTGGTGACTTGTGCAAAGTGATGCTTTAAAAATCAATTTGGCTGGGGTGTGCAGGAAGGTTGGGGAGGGAGAGGCCAAAGGTAGGTAACAGACATTTGCCTGATGATAGCGGTGGGAGAGCAGGGCAGGGTAAAGAGGAGGTAGATCTTTCAGAGGCCCCTGTGCCACCTGCTGTCCCAACGGCATCCTAGCATTCTCTCTTCACTCTTGATAGGGACAGGCCACTTGCAGGCAATGCCCAGGGCACCACCCAGTCGGTCCAGCTGGTCACGCAGAGGGTTCTGGTGGACAATAGAGTGCTGATTAAATGTTTCACATACGTAGCAAAGACAGGGGCTAGACAGAGGCGTGGCCGAAACTCTCACCATGACCTCTCCAGACCAACATTTCCGTCATTTGGAAATCTCTGGCCTATCAAGCCCCACTTAGTAACAATTATGGCTTTCCCATATTTATTTATCAAAACTAGGCATAAGGGCCATGCTGAGCTTCTGATCAGCTGAAGTAGCCACTGCTACCATGGTAAGTCTATGTGAGCCCAGCCATAAATGTTTAGGGAACTTCAAAACAGCCTAGACTGCCTCCTTCCCCACTAGCTCTGAGCCCAAGGGAAGCCAGAACTAAAGGCGTCCCCAAGGCCTGGGACACACACTTCCCAAGCGCCCAGCTGACCAGCACTGCCTGAGCCCATCCCTGAGGCTCCAGGTTGGTGGAGTGAGGAGTACGGCACTGAGACAGAATGGCCTTCAAGCTCTGCTCATCCAAAGCCAGCAGGCTGACATTGGAAGCTGTCAGGGGATGCATGAAAGCCCAGCACAGCCGGGCACGGTGGTTCACGCCTGTAATCCCAGCACCTCGGGAGACTGAGGCGGGCAGATCACGAGGTCAGTAGATTGAGACCATCCTGGCCAACACGGGGAAACCCCGTCTCTACTGAAATATAAAAAATTAGTCAGGCGAGGCGGTGCATGTCTGTAGGCCCAGCTACTTGGGAGGCTGAGGCAGGGGAATCGCTTGAACCCAGGAGGCAGAGGTTGCAGTGAGCCAAGATCCCACACTGCATTCCAGGCTGGCAACAGAGCAAGACTCTGTTCAAAAAAAAAAAGCCCAGCACAGGGCCCACAGCCTGGCCACACACTAGGAAGTTATAATCACCTGGGGAGCTTTAAAACATGCCACCATCAGGGCTGACTGAACTGGTCCAGGTGAAACAGGCAATGGTACTGTTTAAACAGGCCCCACGTGAACTCCAGTTGGCAGGCAGGGAGGACAGAGAATGTGGAAGTGCAGAATGCTGCTGCTGCTATAGGAGGCTCAGGACGGCATCCAAGAGGAAGTGTCCTTGTGTGGGACACTGCATCTGAGAGCATACACAGCCCAGGCTGTAAGGGGCTGAGGGAGGGAAAGCCCTACTCAGTGAGAGGTCCCACCGCTCAGACACCAAATGGGAACATCTCTCCAGCCTGCGGAAATGCACAGGGGTGAGGCAGGGGTCACTCTGGGTCTCTGTCTTTAGTCACCATGACTGCTCATAGTTGCCAAAGCACTTTCACATGTGGCCGAGTTCTAAATGACAGCCTGGCACCAACCCTTAGAGGCACATGGCTGGGTCCCGTTACCCAACTCTTGGATGGGGAAATGGAGCCTGGGGAGGTTACAGGACTGGTTCAAGTTCACACAGGTAGGAGGAGGTGGAACTAGGACTTGAATCCAGACCTTCTGATTGGACCACAGCCTCCTCCAACAAGCCACCCAGCTTCCCAGGTGCCCTGACACTGGGACAGAAGGGCTGCATCACTGCCAGGCCAGACCAGACCCAGCCCTGCTGATGTCCAAGGCACACTGTGGTCTTGGGGACACTGCATGTCGGAGATTATTCCTGGAGGGCAATCATGTCCAGTGACCAGGCTGAGTCACAGCCAGGTGTCAAACATCCTCTGGCCAACAGGGCCAAACCTCTACCCTCCTGTAACAGAGCTGTCTGAGGCAAACTGACCTCGGGCTAAGGAGAGGGTTAAGAGACCACGCCCAGGGGCTCCCCACCCTCACCCCCACTCCCAAGACGCACCCTCTAGACCTGCCTTTGCTCTGTTGACCTGTTTCGGTCGTCCCTACCAATGCCCAACCCAGTTGGAAAATTCCACTGTGCTGCTGACATATCTACTTTCGGATTCATCTTTCTTTCACTGATCTGGACTGTGAGTGTGGTTTCTGTCTTCTAAAAGTGCCAGGCTGCAGCCTGATTTAAAGAGTTCATCTGATATTTTCCTGGGTTTAACTCGACTTTCTCCCTCTTGGCATTTCTTCTTCTGGATTCTGGGAAAAGTGAAGCCAGAACAAAATGGAATCCTGCAGGCTCGGGAGTCCAATGCAAGAAGGAGAAACTGAAGGCCAGCTCTCTTTTCCAGCTGCCCTCCCTATTGCCCTGCCTTCCCTTCCACGCAGGAACACTGCTAAGAGCTGGCGGTCTTGGCAGGGGACACGCGGGGCCTTCCTGCTGGCGGGAGGTTCAGGAGCGCTTACGTCGGAGGGTTTTCATTCAGCATCAGGGAGGTAGGTGGGGTCTAGAGACCATGCGACGTGGATAAGGGCTCCATCTGGCACAGGCTTTCAAGCTTTGTGTGGGCTCCTCTTTCTACAGCTTCTCCCCAGAATGGATCTTCTGATGCCTAATCAGGTGCGAGCTGCCCCGGAAGGACTTGCCGCACAGATTGCACACGTAGGGCTTCTCTCGGGTGTGGGTTTTGTAGTGCTCGATGAGGGCGGACCTGTGCCGGAAGGCTTTGCCGCACTCGCAGGCGTAGGGCTTCTTGCCGGTGTGGATTCTCTGGTGCTGGATGAGCGCGGAGCTGTGGCAGAAGGCCTTGCCGCACTGACAGCACTCGTAGGGCTTCTCGCCGGTGTGGATGCGCTGGTGCTCGATGAGGGAGGAGCTCTGGCTGAAGGCCTTCCCGCACTTCTGGCATTTGTAGGGCTTCTCGCCGGTGTGGGTCTTGCGATGCTCAATGAGGTTGGAGCTCTGGCTGAAGGCCTTCCCGCACTCGTCACACTTGTAAGGTTTCTTCCCGGTGTGGATCCGCTGGTGTCGGATGAGGTGTGACCTGTGACAAAAGGCTTTCCCACAGAGATCGCACTCGTGAGGTTTCTTTAGGGTGTGGATCTTCCGGTGCTGGCTCAGGCCCGAGCTCTGGTTGAAGGACTTCCCACACTCCTTACACTGATAAGGTCTCTCTCCCGTATGGATCCGTTCGTGTTTTCTGAGGCTGGAGCTCCGGCTGAAATCTTTCCCGCAGTCCCTGCACTCGTAGGGCCTCTTTCCCGTGTGGATCTTTTGGTGCTGCGTGAGGGCGGAGCTCTGGCGGAAAGCCTTCCCGCACTCCCGGCACTCGTAGGGCTTCTCTCCGGTGTGGATGACCTGGTGCCGGAGCAGGTGGGAGCTCTGGCTGAAGGCCTTCCCGCACTCGCAGCACTCGTAGGGCTTCTCCCCGGTGTGGATCACCAGGTGTCGGAGCAGGTGGGAGCTCTGGCTGAAGGCCTTCCCGCACTCTCGACACGCGTAGGGCTTGGCTGCTTGTGGGGTTCTGTGAGGTGCACTGGGTCCTGAGTGCCCCCGGTCTGTTTCCGCATCATCGGTAGGGCTGGGTTCCTCACCGTGGATTATCTGACACACGCTGAGGTCGGATTTCTGGAGGAAGGTTTGGCCAAACAGCTCATCATCCTGGACTCTGGTTCCTGGGGGGATACTTTGATGCTGAACAGGGCTTGAGCACAGACTGAAATTGCCCTCGTAATCACCATGTTCCTCGCCTTGCTCACCAAGAGGGATCTCCTTGTAGATCACAGCCATTTGCTCCAAACCTCTTTCCTGAAGAAAAGGGTCCCCCGGGTCCTCCCCTGGGAAGAGTCCTTGTTGTGACTCTAACCTGTTCTCAAATGCAAAGGTCTCGCCAAACTTGGTTGCTGGGGGAACCTCCATGGTGAGTCTGCTGTCACTCCCAATGGTTGTATCTGTTTAAAAATGTTCTTCTTTGGGCCACACTCACTGTTTTCACCATCTGAAAAGAAAATGGGCAACGCCGTCAAGTCAGGAGTCAAGCAGCTCATACGCGCCTGCTTCCTGCCCTAGAATCTATGAGGGAAGCAACCATATACACCTAAGACACAGTCTTGCCCTTAAGATGGTCCCAAATGAGTTAGAGGCAAGTTTTGCTTACCAGAGACAATTGAAGGCCACACAGACATAATCAAGTACCGCATCATGGTGTCTAGACTCTATGGGCTGAAGATGTTCAGAAAGGTGAGCTAAAACAGGAAGTGAGGCCGGGGTGTGGTGGCTTATGCGTATAATCCTAGCACTTTGGGAGGCTGAAGCGGGCAGATGACTTGAGGTCAGGAGTTCAAAACCAGCCTGGTTGTATGGTGAAACCCCATCTCCACTAAAAATATAAAACAATTAAATTAGCCGGGTGTGGTGGTGGGTGCCTGTAATCCCAGCTACTAGGCAGGCTGAGGCAGGAGAATCGCTTAAACATGGGATGCAGAGGTTGCAGTGAGCAGAGATCACACCACTGCACTCCAACGTGGGCTCAGAGTGAGACTGTCTCAAACAACAACAACGAAAACCAGGAAGTGGACTGCAGAAAAGGAGCAAGGCTCTAGCTACTGGGTGACATCGGGGGGTTAGGTTTTGCTGGGAAAGAGAAAGAGAGCTCTTCCCTCTACACTAGGTCAGCCGCACTCCTTCCAGCCAGGTGCCCCAGCCTGGGAGTCAGCACAGCCACTCTTATTCTCACCCGACTGGTCTCATCCTATGTACTTCCCGAGGCTGCATGGACGGCATCTCTGCCCCTCAGGCCTCACTGTCACGCTGCAGCTCAGACTTCAGGGCTACCTCCTGGGATCTTTTCAGTGCTGGCCTCCAAACTGGCTGCTGACCCCTGGCTTCCACTTCTCCCTCTGATGCATGCCCTGCACTAACACTAGAGTCAAATATTCAAAACACAAGCCTGATTATGGTGGTTCCCTTCTTAGGATCTTGTGACAGCCCAACTCCTTCACACCTGGTCCTTCCAATCCACCTCCTGTCTTCCAATCCATCTGCCTGTCTTTCCATACACTTCTTTTTTTTTTTTTTTTTTTTTTGAGATAGCCTCTTAACCTGTTGCCTAGGCTGGAGTGTAGTGGTGTGATCTTGGCTCACTGCAACCTCTGCCTCCCAGGCTCCAGTGATCCTCCCACCTCAGCCTCCTGAGTAGCTGGGACTACAGGTGTGTGCCACCACACTCTGCTAATTTTTTTAATTTTCTTTTTGTAGAGATGAGTTCTCACTGTATTGCCCAGGCTGGTCCCCCCAACACTTCTGATTTTCCAGCTTGGTGACTAGTTTGCACTGCTGTTGTCTGGCCCTAACAGGTCCTCCTGCCATTCTCAGACTGCCACTTGCTCATCCTTCGGGACTCGTCCAAATGTTCCCTTTTCTCTGCACCCTCAGGTTCTTGACCATCTCAGGCCCACACCGTTAGCTTGAAAATTCCCTAAGGGCAAATACTACGCTCTTTCATTTCAGATCTCCGGCCCCCAGCACAAAAGCACAATCCCAGTGTACACAGTTGTTGAATAAATGATCAAATGGAGGAAATGCCATTTGTTTTTGTGCCAGAACTGTCAACTGTTTTGGTCAAAGAATACTTTATTCAAATAAGTCAACTGTCTAGGACAGGGATCCCCAACTTCCGGGGCAGGGGACCGGCACCAGTCTGCAGCCTGGTAGGGACCGGGCTGCAAAGCAGCAGGTCGAGCAGTAGGTTTGTGAGCATTATAGCCTGAGCTCTGCCCGCTGTCAGATCAGCAGTGGCATTAGATTCTCAGAGGAACTTGAACCCTATTGTAAACTGCGCATGTGAGGGATCTAGGTTGTGCATTCCTTATTAGAATCTAATGCCTGATGATCTGAGGTGGAACAGTTTCATCTCAAAACCATCCCCCACATCCCGTACCCATTCATGAAAAAATCATCTTCTGCAAAACTGGTCCCTGATGCCAAAAAGGTTGGGGACCACTAGGAGATATAAATAAATAAAATAGACAAAAGCAGAGCAGCTCCAGTCGAACGAGGGTGCTTTAGCAGGGACAAGGAAGGAAGCTAGAACAGCCCACTCAGCACCCCTCCCCCCAGCTGTGGCCCCTGAGGAAGCCCCGCAGAGCCCTATTCAGAAACTTCTGTGCTAGGTAAAGGCAAAGTCCTCAGGTGACATAATCATGAAAGCAACAGTGCATATTCACTGAGCACCTAGTATGTGCTAGGCACTAATAGGTCCTTCGTGGCATCTCATTTAATCCTCAGAACTCTATAAAAAGGTACTAATTACCTTTTTTTTTTTTTTTTTTTTTTTAGACAGAGTCTCGCTTTGTCACCAGGCTGGAGTGCAATGGCGTAATCTTGGCTCACTGCAACCTCTGCCTCCCGGGTTCAGGCGACACCCCTGTTTCAGCTTCCCAAGTAGCTGGCATCACAGGCGTGTGCCACCACACCCAACTAATTTTTGTATTTTTAGTAGAGAAGGAGTTTCACTGTGTTGGCCAGGATGGTCTCGATCTCTTGACAGTGTGATCCACCTGCCTCGGCCTCCTAAAGTTTGGGGATTACAGGCATGAGCCACCGCACCCAGCCCAGTGATAATTGTACTGGGTGCCCAGCTCAGTACTATTATCTTTATACTGAATCTAGTAACTGCCTCAAAAAAAAAAAAAAAGAAAAGAAAAGAAAAACAAAATTAATCAGAACACTCATAACACAACTTATTTCTACTTGGAAAAAAAAACTTTTTTTTTTTTTTTTTTTTGAGACAGGGTCTCACTCTGTCACCCAGGCTGGAGTGCAGAAGTAGAATCACAGCTCACTGCAGCCTTGACCTCCTCGGCTCAACTGATCCTCCCACCTCAGCCTCTCAAGTAGCTGGGACTACAGGGGCATCTCACCGCACCAGGTTAATTTTTCATTTTCTGTAGAGATGAGATAATATTATGTTGTCCAGGCTGGTCTTGAACTCCTGGGCTCAAGCAATCCTCCCATCTCCGCCTCCCAAAGTGCTGGATTACAGGCATGAGTCACCATGACCAGCAGAAATGATTTTTTTTTTTTTTTTTTTTTTTTTTTTTTTTTTGAGATGAAGGTTCGCTCTTGTCGCCCAGCCTGAAGTACAACCTCCGCCTCCTGGGTTCAAGTCACCTCAGACTCCTGAAAAGTGCCTGCTACGATGCCTGGCTAATTTTTATATTTTTAGTAGAGATGCGGTTTCACCATGTTGGCCAAGCTGGTCTCTAACTCCTGACCTCAAGTGATTTGCCTACCTGAGCCTCCCAAAGTGCTGGGATTACAGGCGTGAGCCACGGAGCCCAGCCTAGGAATAATTTTTTTTAATGATTTTTCAGCCAATAGAAAGACTGGCTATGAAAAAAGCACTGGACTAAAGTATTTTCTTTTTCCAGGATGGAGTGCAGGGGTGTGATTACAGCTCACTGCAATCTCTGGCTCCCCAGGCTCAAGTGATTCTCCTATCTCAGCCTCTTAAGAAGCTGAGACTACAGGCATGTGCCACCACACCTGGCCAATCTTTGTATTTTTTGTAGAGATGGGGTTTCAAAATGTTGCCCAGGCTGGTCTCGAATTTCTGAGCTCATCCGATCCACCCATCTCAGCCTCCTAAAGTGCTGGTATTACAGGCATGAGCCCCCTCGTCCAGCCCTGAAGTATTTCAAACACTCTTTGATCAACTCCTCCCCCTCCCCCTCCTCTTCAGCAATCCATAATCTCCAACCCTTCCAGCTCTCTCACTCAATTTGTGCTTTCGCCCTCATGAAATCCAAGCCCCCCGTTTTCACCCTAGCTCTCCTCTTCCAGTTTCACCCCCTCTCCATCCAGCTTAGACCCTCTCTATCTATAGTAACTCTAACCATGCGCGTCACTCCAACTCTCACGCTGCAGCGCCATGCTCCTCACCTCCTGGTCGGCAGCAACCACAGCCGCTAAGTCCCAGCCTTCTCTGCCAATTCCTCCTAAGCTGTTCAATGTTGCCAAGAACAATCATACAAACTATGTATCGCACCACGACACATTTCAAGTTTCCGATTTCAGCTGCGACCTCAGCTCTGGCATCCGATGACTTCCTTACTGCCAAGTCCCTCTCTTCCCGGTCCTCACCTTCCCACCCCATCTGGCAACTGCTCTCCAAATACCTCCTTCTCAAAACCCTTCATTTCCGAGGTTGCGAATTGGCAGCCTGGAGATCCTGCTACGTTATGTTTGGCTCTCGAAGAGTTTGGCTTTTCCTGTTCATTTTCCTTAGTTGCCAATACTAAAAACTCAGTAGGTTTCTGGCTTTCTCTTAAAAAATCGAAGACGTGACAATAGCCCTTCACCCGTCCACACTGCCTACCTGGGTGCATGAAAGCTTTGAGCTACCCCTCGACCCCATCCCCACCCTCGCTTTCTTCCCTTGGTTGCTGACAGCTTTCTTCCCAATTTTCGTGCCTTCCAAGTCCTCTTTCTTGGTATCCTTAGATTGCAACTCTTCCTCCACCCACCTGTTAAATCCTGGTGTAGCCCTTACACGCTGAAGTCTCCACGCAGGAGAAAAAGTTGGCAATCCTTTATCTGTCCCCCACGACATGTGAAGTGTTTTGGGACGGAAAACGCAAAGGTCTGGAACTCCATGCTTCCCACCTCTCTCCGGGCCTTCCCCGGGTCTTCCAGCATCTGTCATCCCATCCTCTAGAGAGTGCCCAGGGCCTGGGCACCGGGCAAACCCTCAGCGCAGTCAAGGTTTCCTGGCCGGGGCCCAAGAGCGGCCACGGACCCGCACGCGCTGCCCGGGCGGCGACGTGGCGCCCCTACAGGTTTCCCCGCAACTGGGGACACGCACACCCAGAGCCACCGGAGGGACGGGGGGGGGGTCAGGCGGACTCGGGTCACACCGGCGGACGCCGGGCCACTCACCTGGGCCAGGGCGGGGCGGTTCACCTGGCCGGGGCGGGGCCGCAGGCGGGCGGGGCGGGGCCGCACCTGAGCTGCTCCAACCCGCGGCCGACGCGGCCTCGCTCCGCGGCAGCTGCTGACGCGGAGCCCGCGGCCGCCCGAGCGCCCAGAGCCCCGCCCCCCCCGGCCCGCGGGCACTTCCGGGACCACTCTAGGCCGCGCGGAGGTCCCGGCGTCTCGGTGGTCCCACCGTGCCGGTTGTCGCTGCGCGTAGCCTCCCGGGCCCCGGGACACAGGGACCCGAGTCAGGGGAGTCTCTCGGGTCGGCGTGGTGGCTCTGGCCGTCCCCGAGGCGTGCGCTGGCCGTGAGGGAAACAGGGGTGGGCAGGCGTTGGCAGGAGAGCAGAGGAGGAAACGGATCGCGACGGGCGGGCCGACCTGGAGCCGCCGGCACTCGGGGCGCCTGCGCTGGGGCTGGGTGCAAGCCAGGAGCCACTGAGGCCGTGGGGGTCTTCAGGGGAACAAGAGTGGAGCCCCAGAGCTGTCGACCCTGTCACTCTGCACGGGTCCCAGGGTCCTTTAGGATCCCCCTCCCTCAACCCGCCTCAAGGGTAGCCCTGGGCCTGCCTGCCCTCCTCGCCCGCACAGAAAGAGATGAGAAGGAGCCCGCGAAGACCCAAGCGTGTTTTCGGGACCATCCCAGGACCCTGAGCCCCCCGACTGTGTGCATCCTAGGGCTGACTTCCACATGAAGCACCTCTCTGGGGCACGGGGGGGGGGGTGGAATGTGTTCTTGAAATCTCCGCCCCCTCCTTGCTGCTGATGGCAAGACTGGCCCCTCCACCGAATGCTCCGCCCGTGCCCACCTCCCCCCAATCCCAATCCCCGGCTCAGGTGCAGCTGCCCAGCTTGTGGGAGAGCCTCCCTCCGCAGACCTCGGCCCAGTCACAGGACATCAGGAGGACACATTGTCCCTGGGGAAAGGGATTCTGCCCCAGCCATCAACCCACCCGCCTACAGCACCCTCAGCCCTGGCACCCGAGTGCCCCCATGCTACCCACACACACCTGCCTTCCTGCCCCATCAATGCTATGGAGTTGGGCCTTGGGCACAGACTCCAAGGGGTAGGCAGTGGCTGCTCCTCCCCAAATCAACAGCCTGAGCTCCATGGGGACCAGCCACCCTGGACCCCTGAGCCTTGGACCACAACCAGCTGTGCAGAGCTGGGGGAGGCAAGGCCTGGTTCCTTTTTCTCTTTCCAGCTCCTCAGGTCACATCAAGGTCAGGCCACCAGTTAGTGTCCCCAGGGAGCTGGGGGGAGTCTGGGTCATGCACCAAGGGTCTCAGGTGCTTCCTCTTTGACAACAGTCCCCAGAATCCCCATTCCCCCCAACACTGCACCCCACCACTCCAGGAGTGGGTCTTTGACTCCCAGACCCACCACAGTCACTTTTTTCACCCGGGATCTCATGGCCCTCACAAGAGCTGTTGCTGACATGTTGAATGTTATTAACCCATTTTACAGAGGGGAAGCAAGCCTCGCAGAAAGTTAAAAAGGGGCCCAAGGTCAGGGACAGAAATGGGAGGCAGACGGGAGGCACTCATCTCACACCCCACCCCTAGGGACCGGAGCTGTAGCCAACAGAGCAGTAGTAATCTGCGTCATCCTCAGGCTGCACAGGGCTGATGGTGAGGACACAAGCATTGTGGGCTTCATCCGTGGCTGCCGAGAATCGGTCAGGGATGTCAGCAGGCCGGTGGTGATCCTCCTCTGAGCGGTAGTAGAGGAGATATCGAGGGGCACTGCCTGCCCGCTGCTGGTACCAGGACACACCGTAGTCCTTGATGGTGACATGCTGGGGGCTGAGCGTGCAGGAGAGTTGAGCCACTTGGCCTGGGAAGACCAGCAGTGCAACCGGCTGGGCCAGGACTGGCCGGGAGGCTGAGAGACACAAACCCACTCAGGCCCAGCCTGAGCCCCTTCCCTCCCGCCCCTGCCCTATGAAGGGTTGGTTGGACTCCAAGGAGATTCTCCCAAAGGGCTCATAGCCCAGTTCCATGGGATTAGCAATGAACTGGGTGCAGGAGGCCTAGCTCTGTGTGACTTAGGGTGCCCTCTCTGGGCTTCCATCTGCCTTTTTGAGTAAGGGGTTTGGATTTAGCAGCCCCCAAGTCCCCATTAGTGCCACATCCCCAAAGATCCATGTTCAGTTAAAGGCCCAGAGCTGAGGGTTGGACTAGCAACCTCTGGGTCCCTCTGCTACCTACCCGTGTTTCTCTGTAGAATTGCACCCCACCTCCCCCCTCACCTCCTTCACTCCAGCTCTTCCAAACCCTGAACGCAGACTACCCAGCCCTAGGAACCTCCTGGGCTGTCCCACACATTAACGAAGCCTCAGGCAACTGGCTGCAGGGACCTTCTCAGGGAAGTTAGATTGCCTCAGGCACTGTGGGGAAGGGAAGCTCACAATAGCTTCCCCTGTGAAAAACTAAGAAGGAGACCCCAAAATCAGAGTCCGGGGCTCTAGTGGTCTGGTCATTCACAAATGGGAAAACCAAGGCCCACACAGGGAAGTGATTTGCCCCAGGAAAAGGGCAGAGCTGCCTGAAGCCAGGTCTCCCCTCTACCTTAATATCTCTCCCAGGACCTGCGCTACTGTCCCCATCGATTTGCCTCCATGAAGGGGCCTTCTGGGGCCAGTATGGTTCCCCACCCCACACCCAGGTGAGTGAGGCCCAGGGAGGATTCACCTGACATGAAGGTCCCCATCAGAAGGAGACTGAGGCACCAGCAGGCCATGGCCAGAGGCAGGGAGAAGTTCTGCAAAGCTATATGCTCCAGGTGCTTTGGGGCACAGGGCTGGGAAGGCCACTGGACCACAACAGAGCATGCAAATCAGCCTATTGACTGCGGAAGGACGGGTGGAACTGGGGCCAATGGCCAGGCCCCATCTTCCCAAATATCAGGGTCCTGGCTCCACAAGGCCATCTGGGAACAGGAGCCCAGAAGTCTTCACATGCAGTCACGGCAGGTAGAAATCTACTTTTTTATTGAGGTACAACTGGCATACAGTAATGTACATAAATCTTAAGTGTATAGCTTGGTGATTTTATGTATGTGTATGTATGCCCCTGCGCGTGCGGGTACACACACACACACATACACACGCAGACCTCTGCAACCTCCACCCAGATCAAGATTTAGAACATCTCGGCTGAGCTCAGTGGCTCATGCCTGTAATCCCAACACTTTGGGAGGCCAAGGCAGGTGGATCACCTGTCAGGAGTTCGAGACAAGCCTGGCCAACATGGTGAAACCCCCATCTCCACTAAAAATACAAAAATTAGCTGAGGCTGGTGATGTGTGCCTGTAATCCCAAGTCCTGGAGAGGCTAAGTCAGGAGAATCACTTGAACCCAGGAGGCAGAGGTTGCAGTGAGCCAATATCTCACCATTGCACTCCAGTCTGGGTGGGTGACAGAGCGAGACTCCACCTCAAAAAAAAAAAAAAAAAAAAAAAAAATCTCCATCTCCCCTGAGGCCCCCTCAGTTAATAATGATCAGCACCCTCAAGGGAACCATCGTTCTGACTTCTACCAAGTTAATTAGTTTTTGCCTGCTCTAGAACTTCAAATGTAAGTGGAATGGATAATGTGTCCTCTTGTGTGCCTGTTTCTTTTGTTGAACATTGTGAGAGTGATCCATGTGTGTGCAGCAATATTTCATTCATGGCCATAGCTGTGTGTAATCCATTGTGTGAATGCACCATAATCAGTTTCTCCAATCTTCTATGATTAGACATTTGGATGCTCTCCAGTCTCTGGCCATTACAAATAAAACTTCTGTGAACGTCTCTGTCATGTCTTTCGGTCTATTTGTGCACGCATTTGTGCTGGATAGACACCCGGGAATGGAGCTGCCGGATGGCAAGGAAAGAATACGTTTAGCTTTACTAAGTCTGCCAGGGTTGCCCATGTGTTTGTACCAATCTACGCTTCCACCAGCAGATTAAGAGAGTTTACAGTGACTTTGCATCCTCACCAGGACATTGTCACGACCTTTTTTTTGTTTTGTTTTGTTTCTGAGACGGAGTTTAGCTCTTGTTACCCAGGCTGGAGTGCAATGGCGCAGTCTTGGCTCACCACAACCTCCGCCTCCTGGGTTCAAGCAATTCTCCTGCCTCAGCCTCCTGAGTAGCTGGGATTACAGGCACGTGCCACCATGCCAATTTTTTGTATCTTTAGTAGAGACGGGGTTTCACCATGTTGACCAGGATGGTCTCGATCTCTCGACCTTGTGATCCACCCACCTCGGCCTCCCAAAGTGCTGGGATTACAGGCTTGAGCCACCGCGCCCGGCATTTTTTTTTTTTTTTTTTTTTTTTTTTTTTTTTTTTTTTTGAGATGGAGTTTTGCTTTTGCTGCCCAGGCTGGAGTGCAATGGCGCGATCTCGGCTCTCCGCAACCTCCACCTCCTGGGTTCAGGCAATTCTCCTGCCTCAGCCTCCTGAGTAGCTGGGATTACAGGCACGCGCCACCATGCCCAGCTAATTTTTTGTATTTTTAGTAGAGACGGGGTTTCACCATGTTGACCAGGATGGTCTCGATCTCTCGACCTTGTGATCCACCCGCCTCGGCCTCCCAAAGTGCTGGGATTACAGGCTTGAGCCACTACGCCCGGCTTTTTTTTTTTTTTTTTTTTTTTTTTTTTTTTTTTTTTGAGACGGAGTTTCGCTCTTGTTACCCAGGCTGGAGTGCAATGGCACGATCTCGGCTCACCGCAACCTCCGCCTCCTGGGTTCAAGCAATTCTCCTGCCTCAGCCTCCTGAGTAGCTGGGATTACAGGCACGTGCCACCATGCCCAGCTAATGTTTTGTATTTTTAGTAGAGACGGGGTTTCACCATGTTGACCATGATGGTCTCGATCTCTCGACCTCGTGATCCACCCGCCTCGGCCTCCCAAAGTGCTGGGATTACAGGCTTGAGCCACCGCGCCCGGCCTTTTTTTTTTTTTTTTTGAGATGGAGTTTTGCTTTTGCTGCCCAGGCTGGAGTGCAATGGCGCGATCTCGGCTCTCCGCAACCTCTGCCTCCTGGGTTCAGGCAATTCTCCTGCCTCAGCCTCCTGAGTAGCTGGGATTACAGGCACGCGCCACCATGCCCAGCTGATTTTTTTTGTATTTTTAGTAGAGACCGGGTTTCACCTTGTTGACCAGGATGGTCTCGATCTCTTGACCTTGTGATCCACCTGCCTGGGCCTCCCAAAGTACTGGGATTACAGACATGAGCCACTGCGCCCGGCCCTGTCATGACCTTTTTAATTTGCCAGGATTCCAAGTAGCTGAGGTGGTTTTGCACTTGGGTTTGAACCCCAGCTCCTTCTCCTGTGTGACTTCAGCCAAGTTGTTTCCCCCAACTGTGCCTTGGTTTTCTTACCTGGAACTTGAAGTTAAGCACAGTCGGTCTGAGGATTGTGAAAATGCAAAGATGGGACCTGTTTGTTCAGTGCTGGCCACAGAGGGTGGATTCACCATGTCATTTATTTTCTGTATTCCAGTGTGCTGTCATCTGGGGCCTTGTTGACCATTGAGGGACTCACCCTCCCAGGGTTACCCAGTCCCTATAGATAGTAAATAACTCTTTTTTTTTTTTTTTTTGATACAGAGTCTCTCTTGTCACCCAGCCTGGAGTGCAATGGTGCCATCTCCACTCACTGCAACCTCTGCCTCCTAAGTTCAAACGATTTTCCTGCCTCAGCCTCCCGAGTAGCTGGGATTACAGGTATGTGCCACCATGCCTGGCTAATTCTTTTTGTATTTTTAGTAGAGAGGGGATTTCACCATGTTGCCTGAGCTGGTCTCCATCTCCTGATGTCAAATGATCTACCAGACTCAGCCTCCCAAAGTGCTGGGATGAAAGCATGAGCCACCTCATCCAGCCATGATAGTAAATAACTCTTCTGAAAGCATGCTTTTTTTGTTTTCTTTTGTTTTTTTTTTTTTTTTTTTTTTTTGAGACGGAGTTTCGCTCTTGCTTCCCAGGCTGGAGTGCAATCTCGGCTCACCGCAACCTCTGCCTCCTGGGTTCGGGCAATTCTCCTGCCTCAGCCTCCTGAGTAGCTGGGATTACAGGCACACGCCACCATGCCCAGCTAATTTTTTGTATTTTTAGTAGAGACGGGGTTTCACCATGTTGACCAGGATGGTCTCGATCTCTCGACCTCATGATCCACCCGCCTCGGCCTCCCAAAGTGCTGGGATTACAAGCTTGAGCCACTGCGCCCGGCCTTCTTTTGTTTTTTAAATGGAGGAGTCTCATTCTGTTGTTCAGGTTGGAGTGCAGTGGCACAATCTTAGCTCACTGCAACCTCTGCCTCCCGAGTTCAAGCGATTCTCCTGCCTCAGCCTCCTCAGTATCTGGGACTACAGGTGCGTGCCACCATGCCTGGTTAATTTTTTGTGTTTTTAGTAGAGATGGGGTTTCACTGTGTTAGCCAGGATGGTCTCCATCTCCTGACATTGTGATCCGCTTCTCTTGGCCTCCCAAAGTGCTGAGATTACAAGCGTGAGCCACCACCCACTGCACCTGACCAGCAAAAACATGCTTTTCAAATGCAAGTCAACTAATCCCAAACCCCTCAAACCCGTTCTTTAATCTGCTCTTATACTCCACCTGCCCTAATCTCTCCAGGGCCATGCACCAGACAACTAGGGGCAGCCTGTGCCCCAGAATCCACTGTAATTATTCAGTCCTAATCCCGGCCTGCCCAGCCTTGGAAACCACAGTAGAGGCCCTGGCCGGCAGTTCCTCCCTCTCCCTCTGCCTGCCCATCAACTGTGGTGCTTCCTGTGTGGCCCACCTTGGTGTACTCCCTTTTTTGGGGAAATCTGAGTAACAAACTGTCTTTTCTTTTCTTTTTTTTTGAGACAGTCTCGCTCTATCGCCCAGGCTAGAGTACAGTGGCACAATCTCAGCTCACTGCAACCTCTGCCTCCCGGGTTCAAGCAATTTTCCTGTCTCAGCCTCCTGACTACCTAGGATTACAGGCGCCCACCACCATGCCCAGCTAACTTTTTTGTGTTTTTAGTAAAGATGAAGTTTCACCATGTTGGCCAGGCTGGTCTCAAAGTTCTGACCTCTGGGGATCCACCTGCCTCGGTGTCCCAGAGTGCTGGGATTATAGGTGTGAGCCACCGTCTGGCCACAAACTATCTTTCCAATGGCACTTTTCGCCCCTCGCCTCCCCTGCTCTCCCCTTCTCTGCCCTCCCCTCCCCTCCCCTCCCTTCCACTTCCCTTTCTTTTCTTCTTTTTTCTTTTCTTTTCTTTGAGACAAGGTCTCACTCTGTCACCCAGGCTGAAATGCAGTGGTTTGATCATAGTTCACTGCAGCCGTGAATTCCTGGGCTCAAGGAGTCCTCTCCCCTTAGCCTCCCAAAGAGCTAGGACTACAGGTGCATGCCACCATGCCTGGCTAATTCTTTTGTTTTTATTTAATTGATGTACTTATTTTGAGACTTGCTCTGTTGCCCAGGGTGGAGTAGAGTGGTGTGATCATAGCTCACTTGCAGCCTCGAAATTTTGTGCTCAAGTGATCCTCCCACATCAGGCTTCTAAGTAGCTAGGACTACAGATGTGAGCCACAATGCCCGGCGAATTCTTCGAAAAATTTTGTTTGTAAAGACAGGGTCTTACCAAAGGAAGGAAGGAAAAAAGGAAGCGAGAAGAAAGAAAGGAGAGAGAGAGGGTGAGATGGAGGGAGGGAAGGAGTGGGGAATGAAGGGAAAGAAAGGGGAGTGTGAAACCTAGAGAGAAAGAAGAGGAAGACAGAGAGGAGCGGAACTCGAAGGGGAGAGACTGGGAGCAGCAGAAAAATGTCAAAGACAAGAAATGGCCGGGCGCGGTGGCTCATGCCTGTAATCCGAGCACTTTTGGAAGCCAAGGCAGGCAGCACCTCAGGTCAGGAGTTCCAGACCAGCCTGTCCAACATGGTGAAACCCCATCTCTACTAAAAAGACAAAGAATGAGCTGGGTGTGGTGGCGCGCACAGTGAGCCAAGATCATGCCACTGTGCCTAGGTGGACAGTCTGTCTCGAAAAAAATAAATAAAAATAGTACATAAATAAATAAAAGACAGGAAATGAAGGTGAGAACCGGCGTGAGGGACTAGCTAGTGGTGAGGGCTAACAAGGACCTGCTATGGACCTGGAACCAACTAGGGCTGACTATGAATGGGGCGAAGGAATTTGGGAGCGATGGAAATGTTCTGTATCTTGACTGTGGTGGTGGTTATATGAGACTTGGCAAAACTCGAAAGCACCAGAAAGGGTGAACTTTACTGTACTGTATGTCAATTATACTTCAGTCGGTGGGAGGTAGCTCATACCTGCAATCCTAGCACTTTGGGAGGCTGAAGCAGAATTGCTTGAGCCCAGAAGTTCGAGACCAGCCTGGGCAACATAGGGAGACTCTCCCTAAAAAAAAAAAAATTGAAATAAAATGAAATAAATATACCTCAATAAACCTGACTAGCAAGAACAGAAAAAGAAACAAGTAGAGAAGAATAGAGGGGAATGGCTGGGAGTGAGGAGGAAGGTGGAGAGAGAAAGAAACCAGCAGGGGAAGGGAACTTGAGTGGGCAGAGACCACACACAGAGGGTCGGGGGTGCCGCTGGAGAAACCGCCCTGGGGCCCAGGCTCCAATCCCAACGATGGCTCCAATCCCTGAGGCAGGGAATGCCAGCCCCCGCTTCTCCTTCCACCCCTCCCACATCGGCCCCAGTATTCCATTAACGGATACAGGGAGGAAGGCATTTCCTGCCCAGATGTCTCCGCCCCCAGTGCCATGGAGACCAGCCTGGAAGCTTAAGGGAGCTGCTGTGGCCCAGGACGCAGTGGGAAGAGAAGGCCAGGAGTCCTGGACTAGCTGCAGGGTTTGAGCTAGGCTGATGCAGAACCACGCAGGTGGCTGAGCAGGAGCCTGGTCCTGGGACCACCCACCCATCCACACTCACACATCCACTTCTCCCTCCAGAGCCCCGCTCTGGAGCAGGTCTCAGCTCCAGGTTTCTTAGTTGGGGAATCGAGATTTGGGGGATCAAAGCCCCCCACATCGCTCTTCCCCACTGCAGCTATGTTCATCAAGGTGATGTTTGGGGGTAAGTGGGGGCCCCTGTCTTGGCAGGGGGGTAGGGGGATGAGCACACTCAGAGGCTGGCTTCCTTCCGCCCTTGGGGAGCGTGGAGAGGCAATGGCGGGAAAGAGGGGTGCAGATGGCGGGGGTCGGGGAAGCGGCTCTGTGAGGAGGCAAAGCGAGCACCTGGAGCGAGTCCCTTACAGAGAAAACCCGAGCTGAGTTTGCCTGCTCATTCACGAAGGCTCCTCTTGGCCAGCGCCCGCTGCACCGCCCTGGAGCCGGTTTTTAAACCGCACAATCTGTTTGCCATTCAATCCGTGATCCTCAAAGTTCAGCGTGCATCAGACACCTGAAACTCTATAGCCAGTTGCAGGTTCCCCGTCCCTCTGGCTGGAGGCGGGTTGGTCCAGTGCGGGAGCAGCCGAGGGGAAGAGGGGAACCGGCGGGTGCGGAGGGCGCGGCCCGCGGGGAGGCTGGGCTGGCGCGCACTTCGTGCTTTGCAGGCCCCAAGACACCAACATTTGGGAGATGGATGGAGGGGTCTCTCCAAGGCAGTTTAAGCCACAGATGTCGGAGCTGTTGTGCCTAGGGCAGTCCTAGCCCCATAAGCCCAGTCGCAACTCTGGGAAAGGGAGAGATGGGAGGGAGAGACAGAGAACCCCAGATTTCCGGGCAAGTCTGGGATCCCACACGCTCCCCTCTGCCCCTCCTCCACAGCCGGCAGCTTTGTGCTGGTGAACACCTCCTGCAGGCTGGTGAACCTCACAGCCCACCTGAGGCAGAAAGCAGGATTGCTCCCAGATGGTGAGGAGGCAGGGAGAAGCAGGGGCTGAGGGGTCCCAGGCAGGGGTGCCAGCCCTGCCCAACCGCTCTCCATGGCCTCCCAGTGACCCTTGCTCTCCTGGCTGAGGACGGCAACCTCGTGAGCCTGGAGGACCTGAAGGAAGCGGCTTCCGGCGCCCCCACGATGGGCAGCTCCCTGCTGAAGGAGCGAGCCACCTATGTCCTCGTTCGGATCAGCAGTAAGGTGGCCCAAGGCTCTCTCCTGTGCAGCTATGTTAGAATGGAAGAGGGGGGCGGAGCAGACCAGAGACCACCCAAGACCCTGCCCAGCCTCCCACCTTGGCTGGGGACCTAGCCCTCACTCATCCCCACCCAATACTCTGCCCCCAGCCTGGACTAGCAAACAGTTCCAGACTGAGAGGGACCATCAGGCCAGTCAGGTGTCCTTCCTCCTTTCTCCACATGCCACAGAGGGAGAGGGCATGGCCCCCACCCGCTATGAGTCCCTGCTGGAGAAGCTGGATGACCAGTACCCAGAGCTGGCAGGTGAGTGTCGGGGCGCAGCCCGGGGGGAAGGCACAACTTCTCCCCAGCCCCTACCAGCAGGACTTCTCCGGCCTTCCAGAGGAACTTCGCAGGCTGTCAGGCCTCTCCTCTGCGGGCCACGATCGGAGGAAGCGCATGGGCACTCGGCGTGGCCACCATGAGCAAAGCCCTGCTTCAAGATCCAGAAAGGTGAGCTCCCGGCCACCCAGGAGTTGCTAGCTGGGACCAGGAGCCAGGTACGGAGGAGATAGGGACACCCAGGGAGACACCCAGAGTGGGACCCCTACCTGTGGGCCAGACACATATGATGAGAGGCAGACCCTCCACACCAACTCCACGCACATACGCCTCGAGATGGGACACACTTTACCCTGAGACAGGTCCCCGCCACCCCACTGGAGTGCCAGCGCACAAAGGGCACCAATGTCCTCAGGCCTCACAGATGTGGCATAGGGCCTGGCACACAGTAGGAGCTCAGTGCACAACTGTTGGACGAACTCAATGAAGGCGGCAGCATGTGTGTGATGGCACAGCCCGCACTGGGTTTGAAGGTCCTGTTCCTCTGTTCTGGCAAGCCCGGGGACCTGGCACACTACTGCCAGCTAGCCAAGTTGGACTCAGACCCAAGGGGGTCAGCCATGACCTCTGTCTCATGTGATCAGGTGCAAACAGACAGCAACCCAGCAGGACTCCTCTTGCAGAATCTGGAAATGCTGAGAAGTTGCATCAGCAAGAGGGGCAAGGTCAGACAGGATGTGAGGCCGCTGGGGGCCCCGAAGCCGTGGGTGCAGAGAATAGGATGCAGAAGCAGAGACAAGAAGGGTAGAGGTTAAATTAGCCGGGCATGGTGGCTTGCGCCTGTAGTCTCATCAAGAGGCGAAGGCAGGGGAATTGCTTGAACCCAGGAGGCGGAGGTTGCAGTGAGCTGAGATTGTGCTGCTTCAGCCTGGGTGACAGAGCAAGACTCCATCTCAAAAAAAAAAAAAAAAAAAAAAAAAAGCGGGGGATAGAGGTGGCAGGCATTTCTGAAAAGGGGGAGATGATGGGTTTATCCTGGGATTTCACCCTCAAGAGTCAGGTGCACTTGGGATTACCTGCTAATGCCTCTCCACACCACTCAGGACTGTCCAAGGTATCTGTCCTGTGCTACCCACGGTGCAGATGGCAACAGGGCTCCTCCTCCCCATCCAGGGCCCTGATTAAGGTGACGGATTGCACACTGTAGTGAGATATCCATCTTGACCCCACCTCATCAGCCAGGGAGCTCCCTGAAGACCGGCCATTGAGAGAGGCACACAAGATGTGGTCTAAAATAAATTCTTTTAATTGCACATTTGTGCCTTGGGTTAACTGGGGGGTGAGAAACCTCCTCACTTGCAATCCCAGCTATCTGCATGCAATCTAGTGTTGTGGTCTAGCTGTTGACGAAGGGCAGAGGTTGATGCAGGGCTGGCCCCTGAGTGCACCGACATCTTCAGGGCAGGGAGCTCAGACCTGCGGAGGGAAGGGCAGCACAGGCTGGTGGTCAGCCTGCAGGTACAAGAGGAGGCTCTGCCTCTCCCCCTCCCTGCCTGGGTCAGGGTCCACTCACCATGGTTGTACTTGCATTGTTTCAGGACCTCGCTGAAGCCCTCACACAGGGACAGGTCACTCTGAGTGGTGGAACACTCCAGGAACTGCCTTATCTCATAGGCGCAGGGCCCCATCTGCAGGGGCTGGGAGGCAACATGGGTGGGCGCCTGGGGGTACAGTGCAAGAGGGTGCAGGATCAGCTTGGAGTTGGTACCTGGAGGTGTGTTTCAAAGCCAGGGACCACCTGCTCCTCCCTACATCCCCAGCCTGGGTGTCCCAAGGATCCTAGGCAGGCTGAGTGACTCAGCAGCGGAGGTGGCCACAGACAACATGTTTCTGTGCCTTTAGAAATGGGCACGTTGGGGGGGGGCAGGGGAGGGAGGAGAAGGCTCTAGAAAAGCCCAGTACTCTGCCTGTGCTCTCAGAGTATGAGCCCCACCCCCACAAGTTCTAGCACCTTCCTGGTTCAGCCACACTAATCCTCATGACCCCTGACCTAGCCACAGAGCACATTTGGCTTAGGGCCGGTTGGGTCCCCAGTTGGGGAAAGGTCATCAGAGACGTGGCTGACCTTCGCCCGTGGGCCCAGCGGTCACGGTGTCCAGACCTGGGTGTAGGGAGAACGGGGGCTCAGGAAATCCAACATCCCTTCCTTCTGCTAGGGTGAGGTGACCTTGCTTGAGTCTCTAAGCCCCCAGGACCTGGGTTTCCCCATCTTTAAAGGGCTGCTTGGTGTTTCTCCCTGGGAGCTTAGGGACCCTGGCCTCAAAGGAGGGGCAGAGAAGCCCGCCTTGAAGTGACAATGAACTCCAGAGGACGAAGACCCTTCCTGGGCAGAGTTCTGGGCTGAGACAACGGTGAACACACTGGACCCTCCTCACTGCACACTTGGGCAGCTCCCTGTATGGCCTGCAGAGAATCCTGCCTCAGTTTCTCTGGGACCCGCTGCTCACCTGCTGGGCGGCAGGCTGGGCCGGCTCCGAGCTCCCCCCGCTGAAGGCTCCGGTCAGGGCGCTGCCCATGACATGTCCCACAGCCGAGCCCACGGCTACCCCTGCGGCCGTGGATGCCATCTGAGCCATGAGGCCCGGCTGGCCCGAAGGGGCGGGAGCCGGAGCTGCTGCCGAGGGTGGTGGGTGCGCGGGCGGGTGGGCAGAGGGCGCGGCGGGGCGGCTGTGGGGGTGGGAGGAAGCAGGGTTAATAATGGCCAGACCCCAGGCCGGGGGGCTGCAGCTCCTGGAAACGACCCCCGGAGAGGTGGACAACCCCTGCCGCCACACGTGGGTGCTGCACCTCCTCCCCTCCCCCCGCCAAGATGGCGCAGCAGCAGCCAAGGTCACTGCGGACGCCCTCGGGGGAGTGCGGACGCTTCCCTAACCCCCTCCCGACCGGCCCTTGTCCCCTTCACACCTGACTGGCCGGGCGGCCGCGCTACGGCTTCCCCGAGGCATGGTGGCGGCGGTGGGACCCGGGCGATCTAGAGACGGCGGCGGCGGCAGCGCTTCTGCCGCGGGGATGAACGCCGCAGCGACCGTCACTGCCGGCGCTAGAAGGCGGGGCCTGGGCGGGGCCTCGGGGACACGCCCCCAGCGGGAGGCCCCGCCCCCAGCCTGCAGCCCTTCTCGTGCCCTCCGGACCTCTTCCAACAGCTCCGGATCTCCGCGCCCGTCTCGGCTGGGACCCTGTTCCCTCCCTGCGCCTGGCAGGCCGTGCGGGTTCTGGGGACCACGGGCCAGTGCCGCAAAGCGCCGAGGGCTTAAAGAGGGCGACAGCTCCTTCTGTTAGGACCACTGCACAGCGTAGGGAGCGGAGTTGGGGGTTTTTCGATCCCTGGTGGGGAGAGGAGACGGGGAGGCGACGGGCTAGGGCCAGCCGGGGAGGGCACGCGAGGCTCCAGGCCGGGCTCCGCCCTCTGCCCGCTCCCACCAGACAGGGTCTGCTGACCACGGCGTGACCTCGGGGTCCCGGGGGGCCTAGAGCTGAAAAGCGCGGCCCTGGGGAAGGCCTGGAGCCACCCATCCCCAGAACCCCCACGAGGGGGCGTCCCAATCCGTCTTCGACTCTCCCGGCCAAAATGCGCTGTTGGCGCCCGCAGCCTGGCGCAGCGCCTGCGGGGGATGAGATGAGGTTCCCCGCGCGGCCCTCAACCCCACCTAACCCCCCGGGCCGGCCCACCCCACCTAGTTCCAGGCCCCGCGGGTGCGGCCCTGGACACCGACGGCCTTTAGGAGACATCCAAGCAGCGTGTCTATCCCAAAGGCCTAGAAGCGTTTGCCTGGCTCTGTCAAACCTAGCACAAGTTTGAATCCTGCGGCCTTGCAATTTTAGCACCTTGGTTCCAGGCCAAGAAGGTGAGCTGGAGCACGGATTTAGAACGCTTTCTTGCTCTTCGGGAACTTGAGGTTTTAATTTTTATTTATTTCTTTTTTTGAGACGGCGCCTTGCTCTGTGGCCCAGGCTGGAGTGCAATGGTGCCATCTCAGCTCACTGCAACCTCTGCCTCCCCGGTTCAAGCGATTCTCCTGCCTCAGCTTCCTGAGTAGCTGGGGCTACAGGCACCCGCCACTACGCCTAGCTAATTTTTTTACTTTTGGTGGAAATGAGGTTTCACCATATTAGCCAGGCTGGTCTTGAACTCCTGACCTCGTGATCCGCCCACCTCAGCCTCCCAAAGTGCTGGGATTACAGGCATGAACCACTGCGCCTGGCCGAACTTGAGGTTTTTATAGACTTTTCTGGGTGACTTTGTAGTGGTTGTATTATTACTCCTAGGTGGAGGAAGGCAGGGACTGTCCCTCATTACTGTTTGCTGTGCTGGCCGAGGACTCCTGGCACCGGGATTGTGGGCAGGGTGCAACCACCAAGAGCAAAAGCACCCACAAGTGGGGTTGTGGGTCACCATGCAAGACAGGGGGCCCTTCTGTAAGGAAGGAGGAGGTCGAGGGGCAAGGGGAGCGGTGGCTGGAGCGTTTGGCCCTGCCTGGCACGCTCAGTTCTGTGTGTGCACCGCTGTCCCCAGCCATGCATGCTCTACGTGGAAGCCATGTGCAGCCCTGTGCTCTCACACACTGCCGTCCGTTCAGCCAGCCTGTGAATAGGGCTCTTCCCCAGCCTGTCTTCTGTTTCTCCTCTCTGAAGGGGGGTGACCACCCACCTTGAGGGTGGCCTCCCAGTGAGGTGAGCATACAAAGCGTGGGCTATTCTTTCCTGGCAGACTCGCCAGACCTGGTCCAGCCTCCCTTGCTCATGCAGTCCCTGCCCACCTGGTTCCTGTTTGCCAAACCAAACAAACTGAACACTCTCTTATCTTGGCGATCCCCTGAGCCTAAACTGCAGAGAGCTGTTACTTCGGCTCCCATAGCTGATGGACTGCAGGTCCCACAAGGCATGGCCTTGTACCTCAGAGGCACCCAAGACCATTTAAGTGAGTTACACAGATGAAAATGAGGCTGAAAGGATGAGACTGAAGCAACCATTGAAATGCCTACTTTTTTTTTTTTAATGGAGTCTCAATTTGTCACCCAAACTGGAATGTCATGGCTCAATCTCCACTCACTGCAACCTCTGCCTCCCAGGTTCAAGTGATTCTCCTGTCTCAGCCTCCCAAGTAGCTAGGACTACAGGCATACACCACCATGACCAGCTAATTTTTGTATTTTTGGTTGAGATGGGGTTTCACCATGTTGGTTAGGCTGGTCTCGAACTCCTGACCTCAAATGATCTGCCAGCCTCAGTCTCCCAAAATGCTGGAATTACAAGCGTGAGCCACCGCACCTGGCAAAAGGCCTACTTTTTAAAAGTGAGTCACTGTAGCAGGGAACAGTGGCTCATGTCTATATCCCAGAACTTTGGGAGGCCTAGGTGGGCATATTGCTTGAGTCCAGGAGTTTGAGACCAGCCTGGCCAACATAGTGAAACCCTGTCTCTACAAAAAAAAAAAAAAAAAAAAAAAAAAAGATTGCCGGCTGGAAGCGTGGCTCACGCCTGTAATCCCAGCACTTTGGGAGGCTGAGGTGGGCCGATCACCTGAGGTCGGAAGTTCAAGACCAGCCTAGCCAACATGGAGAAACCCCGTCTCTGCTAAAAATACAAAAATTATCTGGGTGTTGTGGGCACCTGTAATCCCAGCTACTCGGGAGGCTGAGGCTGGAGAACCGCTTGAACGCAGGAGGCAGAGGTTACAGTGAACCAAGATTGCACCATTGCACTTCAGCCTGGGTAACAAGAGTGAAACTCTGTCTCAAAAAAAGAAGAAAGTAAGAAAAGATTGCCAGCAGTCTAACAGTCTAAGCTGTAAAAATCACTGCTGTCTTACTTCTCCTCGTCCTCTAGGAGTCTCTATGGAGTCTTCTTGGATAAACTGAAGCGTTTCCCCACCTGCTTCCCTTTCTTGGCTCAGGCTTCCTAACAACAGCCTCACCTTAGAGTAGCTCAGAGCCCTGCCTGCCAGGCTGGGAGCCACTGCCTGGATCTTGGCTCTACAGGGCCACCCATGATGGAGCAGATCACCTGGTGAGGTGGTGAGGCCCTTCATCATTTCAGAGGGTGTACAGCAGGACTGGGTAAAGCCAAAAATCAGGGATCAGACTGGAGGATACCTTCCAGAAAGTGGACACACAACCTCCTTTGATTCTTACCTCCTTTCTTTAAGTCTCGGGTCTGCAGGGGCTTGTGGGGCCCTGACCAGGGGACACCCTAAGGGCCCAGTAGCCCACTCAGACACGTCCCACAGCCTTCTGATGGCATCTTCCCCCCAGCT